CTATCTATCTATCTGTCTGTCTGTCTGTCTGTCTGTCTGTCTGCCATTCAACTGTCTATCTGTCTGTCTGTCTGTCATTCAACTGTCTATCTGTCTGTCTGTCTGTCTGTCTGTCTGTCTGTCTGTCTCTTTTTTGTGTTTATCTATTTATCTTTCCATCCATCAACACAGACATCCATCCAAAATATTGTTATAACTAGAATCCTAACTATAAACCAAAAACACATTGTTTGGTTAATGTTGATCTACCACAAGAGGGTGGTATAATTCAATCCTCACATTTAGTGGGAAGGCTGTATTTCATCAATAGGAAAAGATTTATCTTACTCTGTACTTAGTATGATTAATCAGGCCATAGTACGTCATATATTGGGGTTCTCTGTGCCCCAGTCTCCTGTACCTGGAGTGGATATGAATGGCCAAAGGTCAGCGTCAGTCAAATGAAAACAGAGGAGGGATCGTGATGCTTCTCATTTGAAGTTGATGTTTATTCAAAGCCTGCACTTTTGGATTGCCACTTAACTCTTGTGACATTCGTTTTTAACTGGTATTAAATTACTGCGTTTGCTCTATTGTCAGGATGTCAGAAAGGCTACAATGATAGATGCTAGAGTATATAAGCTCAGTTTGTGATTTCATATTTATTTTACAGAGTGCATTTGGATCTGGGACTAAATTCTACAATACATTATTACTCATTTTTATTACTTATTCTTTATGCAAAGTTGCAGTATTATAAAATGATTATAAAACATTATTCTATTGATTTTTTAGTCATAATCTTCTACTTCTAAGTACTTTCTCAGCATTTCAGGTTAATTTCGTAGCTAAGGAATGTATTCAGTAGAGGTCGACCGATAGTGGATTTTGCCGATACCGATAGCTAGGTTGGACCACACTGGCCGATACCGATACAATTAACCAATAATTTTTCAAATGGATGCTGAACAAAAACTAAAATAAATCTTTATTTAAAAAACAGTACTGAACCATACTAGTAGTAGTAGTAATAATAAAAATTTTT